CAAGCCTGTTTGTGGGACACTGCTGAGCGCAATTGGCTGCCGCATTTCACCCACAAATATACAGTTAATTCACTTTATAGTCTATTCTCTGAAGCGCTTTGAGACGTCTAGAAAATGTGAAAAGCGCTATATCAAATGCAAGGATTATTATTATTTGCCTCCCCTCCCCTCTCAGCATTCCGAAGGGACCTTTCCCTCTGTGACTCTCTGGTTCATTCCTCCATCACCAACAGTTTTGTTTGCCTGTTTTGTTGCAATCCCCCCTTTTATTTTGCATTATTAACACCTCTTTAACCCATCATCCCCTGTCCTCTACCCCATTTTCTCCTTTGTCTTCCTTGCCCTGCCTCCCAACATGCCCCAGTTCAGATGAAAGGTCGTGGACCCGAAACATTTGACTCACTTTCCTTTCTCCATAGATGCTGCCTGACCTGCTGAGTGTTCCCAGCGACTTCTGCTTTTCTTCCAGCTATACTGGTACTCGTGCCTCTGAATCTGTCTTCTCTAATCCCAAACAAAAACAGAGAGAGCTGGCAAAGGGTCTGATGAAGGGTCGTGGATCCAAAACGTTGACTCACTTTCCTTTCTTTATAGATGCTGCCTGACCTGCTGAGTTTTGCCAGCTTTGTTTTTGTTTCAGATTCCGGCATCTGGAGTATTTTGCGTTTTGTTCTCTAATCCCAATTCTGGTCATGATCCAAACTCTTTTATATTGTTCCTCTTGTTTATTCAATTATCTTTTAAATGTCATGGTCTTAGCTGCAATGTCAAATTATTTATGCAGCATAAGCACCTTTCACATAAAATAATCTTGCAAGGATTTTAACAAAATGAGATTAGAAATAAGAGATGTTGTTATGCACACAAATTTGGAAGCTGATTTGCATCAGGAACTTTTCCAGAACAACAATGAGATGGGTAGATAAGTGTTCAGAATTTTTTAGGGAGAATTTGCATGAAGGAGGTGAACTATTGAGATCAACTAGGAGAGACATGTCTTTGAAAAAGCAGCAGGACATGCTTGAATCCATTTGAATCGCAGGGCAGATGGGACCTCAGTTTAATGACTCTTTCAGAAAAGCAATCTGGAAAATAAATATATAATTCTTGTTTTCAATATAGTAGTTTATCATATCAGACCTCTCACCAGTGTCTAACACACTCGACAACGAGTTACTTTGAAGTGCAATGAACGTTGTTGTGCAGAGAAACACGACAGCTAATCTGTGCCGGTAATATCCACCAAATACAATGAAATGAGCAGACATTGAATATTAAAATCCACTCATGGCAAAACATATTCTCATAAACTTCCGTCTTATTCACACAAACATGATTTTTATGTTTGAAAAGATCTTTTAAAGAATATTTTTGAAGTTATTTCATGCTTTCTAACATTTTAGCCAGTAAATAAAACCACACTTATGAGCTCACTTGTTTGGGACTATTTGTTCATAGTAAACTTTAAAATTTGCGCTATTTTTATTATACAAACATATTAAAGGATTAATATGCAATCGTTACTGACAGAGAACTCACACAATTAACATTGTTGACGAGAAATTGAACTTGAGTTTAAATTTACTTTATTTAGTTAGCATTTCAGAGTGCGTGGGATTTTGAAAATCATCAAATTTAGATTTTGAAGCTCTTGAAAGAACTTACAAAAAATGTCCTCAAAATCACTATTTAAAAAAGAAATTGCCAAATATTGCCACTCTGAAATGCTAAGTAAAAAGAGTAAATCCTGACCTTGTTGAAAATTTTATTGATATGTTTTGGAACAAAATACTGCATAGTATTCCTTGCACTTGATATTGCACCTTATCATGTCGTTGAAACATCTCAAAGTGATTCATAGGATTTTACAGTAAAGTGGTGTGACTGTGTATTTTTGGTACTTTAACTACAGAAATTGAGTGAATTTCAGCTACTGCGTAAAACTTCATTAGCCCTCGGGAGTTAGCTAGTGTTGTTACATAGATGACTGATGTTATTTCTTTTAAAGGTTTTTTTTAATTTAGCTGACAGAAATTTGGGAGTGTGCTGTCATATTTTAACTAACAACCTTCTTTCTCTCCAATTAGAAAACTCTTACTAACTTAATCACATTTCATTATTTTAAAATATGGAATATAATTTATTGTAGGCTATTAACAAAATGGAAATCATGTCCACGAAATTTTTTTAAGAGTGTTAACAATCACCCCCAAAATTTAACAGCAAAGACAATTTTGATATTAGTTAAAAATTCAGAAAGGTTTACGCTCGGGTCATATTTCCTAGCCGCCATGTTTAGAATCTGGTGGATTACTGTTTGTTTTATTAAAGTTTATTAAATATTTTGTTTGCTCACCCGCCTGGTCTCATAAATTTTCTGAAACAAGTAAACCACATTCCAACAGCAGCAGGAACAAGTGAAAATTAACATTAAGTATGTTGGCATCATTCCAAGGACCCATATGAACCATTCATTTGATTAATAACGCAACTGCAACATCAATTCATTATTGTGTACTCATCCCTCAGTAACTGTCGTCATTTTCTACAGCTTCATGTGTCCCTGAATATAACATATGCTGTATTGTATAACATGAATTTAGTCCACAGCTTGGTGCGCCTGCAACAAGTAGATAGCTACTGTATGAACACAGAGGATAACTGCTGTCATTTAGCATTGAAAAGCTAGAACCTAAGAATAAAAAATTGGCTCGATTAATGGTAATTAACGATATCTATGCTGGTAACACAAACTGAATAAATTGATTAATTGATTGATTAATAACGCAATTCCATAAATTTATTCCATAAATTCTAGATTCAGCATCCATACACTGTCTGCCTTCTTTGTATACTACTCATTTTGTATAAATACACATTTGTAAAAAAAATCTGCAATTTCAGCGTGTTTGAGTTCTGCTCAAACAATACAATAACATAGTGCCCTTCACAAAGGAGAGTGTCTCAGGGAGCTACACAGTTGTGGGTTAGAATAGAAATCAAACACCAAAAACGTGCTCAATAGACAAAACATTTGTATTCATTCACCAAGGATCCCATAATTAGAGTATTTTGGCAACTATTTAGAGTTAAATGACACCAATAAAACACATCGCCAAAATACAACAGGAAAATCTAATACCATTAAAGTAGAGTACATACTAAAATGAACTGTTAAGCAACCAAATGGTAAAAAATGTTTTATCTGTGATACATTTTAATTTATTGGCACATTTCTAATGGCAATTATTAATTTAAATCCCCTACCATCCACATGTGGAGTGTATCTTTCGCCCACAAAATTCACAATCGATTCACTTTACAGTATATTCTGTGAAGCGCTTTGAGACGTCTCAACGACGTGATAAGGCGCTATATCAAATGCAAGGCTTAAGAAAGAAAAGCAAAGCAGGTGGCAGGCCTTTCTGAGCGCTGAATCCCAGTTTTGTGTACACACCCAATTCCACTCTTGTACAGGGAAAGGCAGGGAGAGGGAGGTGACTTTCTCCAGCTGCTATGTTATACCACCATTTCGGGAGGGGGAGGAAAAGTCACTTTGGAACATTTTCGACCTTAGGTGGCTTGCACGAAATGATCAGAAAGTAGCATTTGGGAATGCTTGTGTGTGTGAGAGAGAGAGAGAATGATTTGACAGCACAAGCTGCAGTGAGCAGCACTACACACAGCATTTTGTGGCCAAAACCTCCCTCTTACTTCCACAATTTTCAGTGGCAGTCTGTTCCGGGTTCTGTGCCACCATTATCAGTGGATGTGCATATGTGTGTGTGTGTGTATATATATATATATATATATGCAATATTGTGAAAGCTCCTGTTCTGCTGAGCTCCAGGATGCTGTTCCTACCTCTGCACCAAAGTCAGCTCTCCAGAGCCTGGGTATAAAAGGAAAACCCTTTCGAAACGATCGGGGGTGGGGGGGAATGCAAATAATTTCCTCCACTCCAGAGGCGTTTTGCAGTAAGTTTTTAAATGCATTCCGATTAAAGGAGCGGAGTTTACAGTCCGCACAACGTGTTACAGTAACTGTAACCTCCGCAGCCCTTAAGAGAGTTGGTAACAGCAGCGATTGCTGAAGGATCAAGTGCAAACAGCGTGATATCCACACAGCAAACACCTCCTGAAAAACACCCAGCAATCGGAATGAACTGTATTCTTTGCGCACAGATGTAGTCATTTCCCCCCCCCCCCACCCACCCCCAAAAAAAAATCAGTAACGTGGTTATGTACTGGAGAAAATGCATCTCTAACAGAGAGCAGAGCAGCAGTAAATAAGGCAATTCTGCCACATACCACTGTCACTCCTCACACACTCCTCACAAGGCTGTGTTATTGCAACTTTCCCAAGTGGTTCAATTCTACTGGATCTGACACTTATTGGTGAAGCCCCAAATCTCATACCTTCTTGAGCCCACACGATAACAAACGAAGACATAAATAACCGGGGACTGACCGATGGTCTGACCGATGGAATGAAACTGCGCAAACATTTTGCTCCTTTTCAAGGCGTTTCAGTGTGTTGATGTGTTTATTGGGTGCGGGTGGTCTCCCATCCGTTTTCACCTATCCCGGTCAGATTATTCAGACTAATATACATATAATATATATCTAAAGACCGTCAAAATGCTCATCAAGTCAAATTGCAAGGCGTTTGCCAGACTGCAACGGTCACAGTACGAGCACTGTTAACTCTTGCTGCAGCCACCAATGATCCCCACTTCCTCGAGCAAACACATCTGAATATCAAGGGGTAAAACTTGGCAAGTTGTGAGAAATGCCTGGATTTATGTTAAATTCACACCTAATAATAATAAATAATAATAATAATAATACTGCCTTACTGCCTCTATTACACATTGCTATAATCTAGCAATGAACGATTGTAATAATCCTTAATAATAATAATAATAATATTAACCCAAACTGAAGCACACAGCTCCCCTTCCATGAGTCCTTGGGAACAGCCCCACTCCCTTCACTTACCTTAGCGACTTCTTCTGTAACAGTCTAATAGCTCTCACAGCCAATTCAGCTCATACTAGAAGTTTGAACGAATAAAAAAAAATCCTTTGGTACAGTATTGTTGCAATTTACAGAATGACCATGTAGACAGATGTCCTACACACTTCTTCACCAGGAAAAAAGGTGTTTAGGTTTTTTTTAAAAAAAACACTTCACCCCCACCAAGGGAAAAAAGTTTCGAATTGTTATCTGATCCTTGTTCAAAGGCAGATGTTTGAAGAGAACGAGCTGTGGAAAAGTGCACTTACTTCCTCTTTATGTCTGGACTCCACACTTTGCTGTTACTTCCTTGAGTTGCTTTTTTTTCAGAAAAAAAGCTTCAGCCTTTCACTGGACAACAATTATGACGAACAGATATAGATAGGAACTGCTCTCAACTGGAGGGCCCCAAAAAATTAACGTTTCAACATCCAGTGAATCATTATTGCATAAACCTACACTTTGGCATCTATTAGATCTTCAGTTCTGAGATTCTGTCAGTACTTTGTACCCTGGAGAACAACACCAATAATTCCACACACCCATAAAAAGAAGCATGATGGAGATTAGCTTATAACTACTAGATTAGGTACTGCATGTGTATAAATATGATGTATACAGATCAGACTTATGCGTATACTGTACAGTAAAACACGTATAAATCTGATCTGTATAAATCGTATAATCACCTAAATCATACATCTGCCCAAGATCTGTTCAAGAGTTTATATTCTATGCAAGTTTGACATAATGCTTTGCAAAACTCATATTAAATGTATGATCCCAATTGATACAAGGTATGTGAGGTTTACTGTATTTGTTTTCAGAGTTGTCTGACTTTTTGTAATATCAGAAAGCGCACAGAAAAATTATATACCCTGTTTCAAAACAAGGTATGGTAGGCGTCAATTATTTGCTCATTAGTTGGCACTCTTCATCTCCTAGGTCAGATATTGCTCCAAGTTGGAATTTAATCTCATAACCTAGAGTAATACTGCAGTGTAACATTGAGAGAGTGCTTGCAGTGTCAGAAGTGCTGCCCTTTGGATGGGACATTAAAGTGCGGTTTTATCTGCTTGTTCTTCAGGCGAATGTTAAAAGATATCTAGGTGTTCTGGAAGCTATTCCAAGTGCCTGGCAAACACTCACTAGATTTACAGAGCATTTATTGTTAATGGGGCTTGACTTCTGCCTTGACCTACAAAATAAAACAACATTAATCATTAGCTTTTCGACACAAAAAGTCATTGTAAAAACAAAAGCTCTTTCTTTGACAGACATGAGAGATTACGACTCAGAGAAACCTCTGTGGCATTGACTCCTATATTTCTGACCAGTCCTGATCTATTAAGAACCATTTGATTGGCAGCAGTGCAACATTTAAGTGTCCTGGTGGCTGATGCCTAGGCCCAAATTCCAAGCTTTTTAATCCTATAAAACTATCTTGACTTAAAATTTGTGTAGAATTGCGGAAAATTCTCAAATTCAATCTTAATTTAGAAATCAACGTTTTGTGGTTGTTCAAAAGTAATGAGCTTCCAAATTAAGGCAAAATTTAAGAATTTTCTACAATTTTGTACAATTTTAAATTTTAAGATGAAATGACCATGTGGTCTAGGAATATGTGGAATTTCGGAGTTATCTCGTTTTCTGTTGCACATTGATGTGTTCAATGGTGTGTTTTTTGCTGCTGTTTGTTGGGGGATACATCTCCGTCATGCAATACATGACGGAGATGAGGGACTTGTTTAGTCTCTCACTACTTCCCAAATTTCTGTTCTCCTCTGCAAAGGGGCACCAAATGGAATTCTGGTATTTTTCTATCAACGATGGACAAATTGAATGAAAATGTCTTTACCAGGATGCTGCTATTTGCATTCTGGTAGTTCCTTAAGGACCGCATTATAAGAGACCTGGGAACAAACTGCACATCATGCTGTCTCAACTGCAGGTAACACATTTCTTGGGAAAAAAAAGAGGACGTGTTCTGATATGTAAAAAAAAAATTTCAAAAGTATTGTTTTATGTCTCTGAGATATACTTTGACCCATTACATTACTTTCCAAATTTTGTCAAATACAATGTTTCAGTAATAATCTAAACTAGTTATTTGCAATGACATACCTACCCCTATCAATTACCTATTTAGGAATCTTTAAGCACTCCTGATATCCAACTTTGCATATTTCATCCAAAATATATTGCATACCCTTCAGATGGGAATGTCTAGCAACAATTTATGATCACTAACAATATCTTAGTGCTTAGTTTCTCTGTGGACTGGCTGGTTCTCAGTTCACGCACCATGGGACTTAAAAGCATATGAACATTACAATAATAAAGATAGTCAAACATTAGGATAACTTGATTACTATAATAACAACAACAAAATTATATTTGTAAAGCGCTTTTCACATCGGGAGGACGACCCAAGGTGCTGAACTGTCGGGCCCCAGGACCCCGACTTTTAGCTCAACCTCATACTAAAAGGCTCATTGCATTCCATTGTATTGCACAAAATCATTATTTGAGAAAATTACCAGGTTCCTACTTATTGCTAGGTAAACAGAGGTGTGTGGAGTATAAAGCATTTATGTAGCGCCTTTCAGGAGGACATCTTAAAGAGCTGGACAGTCAAGGGTTTGCACTCAAGTTGGGGGTTGGAGTCAAGAGGGGTGAAGAGCAAAGAGGTGGGGGCGGGAGGATGACCAAAGGCTGGTGAAAGAAGAGATGGGTCTTGATGGAGGCATGGAGGCCAGGATTAAGGGACTCCAGAATGGACCTCCAAGGGTAGAGTTGTTGTTATTGAATAATCTGTAGCTTGTGGAGGGAAGAGTTGGGAAGTCCAGCGAGCAGGGAGTTAGTGCAGTGAAACCTGGACATAATGAAATCATGGATAAGGGTCTCGGCAGCCTGAAAGGAGAGGTGGTGATAGAGGTGGGGAAATTTGCAGAGGTGGGAGAAAGCTGAATGGGTCATGGCACAGATGTGGGGTTTAAAACAAAACACCAAGGTTCCGTACTAGCTCGGTGAAGTAAGAGCGTGAATCCCCGATTAACCCTTACAAATGATTAATCCTTACACTGCTGGCAGGCATGAGGAAAGCACTGTACTTTCTCCCTGAGCCAAGTTCTGTATCTTGTGCTTATGAGCCATGATATGTAGAATAATGTAACATTTGCAGAAATAACGTTATTCAGACATCCATGGATATATTCATCATTGTAATATTAACAACATGCACATTCAAATTAAACTTTTTAAATATAAACTATATTTTTCCTGTTGTCTCTTTACTAATCTCTTTTTTCTAATTTTCTGCCCTTTCATTGAAGGTTGATTTTATCCCTGTTTAGCTTATTGTATCTTTTATATTTTTTAAATCTCTGTTTGTCTCTCTTTTCTTCATTTTCTCCAGCTGTGTTCAGGGATAGGTTCGGGCATTTTTCAAACATTCTTTTTTTTGATACGTATAACCTTAAAGGAAGGTTTGCCTATAAAATACACAATCACTACACTTTACAGTGAATCCTGAGAAGCACTTTGAGATCATGCTCTCTATGTGAAAATGCAAGGATTGTTAGATTGTTTCTCTAACAATTAAGAGCCCAAACTCTGATTGATGTTACTTAGTCAATAAACGTGCATCAAACCAGCATCTGAGATTCTGCTAGATTCACTCATTATCAGTCCCCCAACAATACAATATCCAGACAAGCAAACTTAGTTAAAATGCTTGAAAGGTTGTACTCCGTGGAAAACTATAATTTTGAAAACCTGTTGAGCGAAAAATTAATTTTCACTTCTGCAAACTATATTTTTGTCTTGGTGCTGAACAGCTGCTTATATTTTTAAACTTCACAGAGACAATTGAGGTAAACAAATTCTTTGTTACTGAGCTACTGCGCTACTATCTGTGCTACTGAGACCTTGGGAGGAGGAGCTGGAGGAGGTGAGGTCTCTCTGTGAAGGACACCAGGTGAGGGATGTATTCTGAACAGTGGAGATGATGAGGGAATGAAGAAATATCCTGGAGTTCTTTCAGCTCGCCCTTCCCTCTCCACTTTCAAAGGCCCCTTCACGACTCGCCTCTTTCACCAAACCTTCGGTCACCATCCCCCCATCCCTCAACCACAAGCCTGTCCATGCCCACCCCCACCACACCCCCCCTCCCACCCAGCTCAGATGACCAACCAGCTGTGTAAAGCATTTTCCCAATGTGAAGAGTGACATATATGTAAATTAAGTCGTAATTTCAGAGTATCCAGAATTTGTTACATTCTTAAACACAGTTTTTAATGTAGAAGCCATTTTTCTTTAATTTCTTTTAACTGCTTCACTAAATAATAAGCTTCAACAACAACAACAATTTGAATTTATATAGCGCTCCTCACACAGGATAGCTTCCTGGAGAGCTTGACAGTAGCGAAGCACGATGCTGAGCCAGTGAAAGGTTACTCAAGAAAGGTGACCGTAGGTATAGTCAAAGAAGAAGTTCTTTAGGTGGGATCTGAAGATGGGGAAGGATGGGGCAGGGCAGAGGGATTGAGGGAGAGTGTTCCAGAGTTTCGGGGTGTAGTGGCTGAAAGAAAACCAGGATGCTGGAGGAAGTTGAGCAGAGGCAGTGAGTAGTAGGTTGGAGACTAAGCAGGTCAGAGAGGTATTAATAATAATAATAATAATAATCCTTGCATTTGATATAACACCTTATCATGTCTTTGAGTTGTCTCAAAACGCTTACAGAAAATACTGTTAAGTGAATTGGCTGTATATATTTTGTGGGCGAAACTCGGCAGCCAATTGCGCACAGCAGTGTCCCACAAACATTTGTGGATTCAATGACCAATTTTTTTTGAAAGGAATTATTACCAATGGAAAAGCAATCCACCATCGACTAACAATTGGGTTCCTAACTACTGCTAGGTAAATAGAGGTGCCATGACATGAAGAGATTTGAAGACGAGTGTGAGTATCTTGAAATTGATCTGTTTGGTGATAGGGAGCCAGTGGATGCTGGCTAGAACTTGTGTGATGGGAGTATGGAGTTTAGTGTGGGTGAGTATGCAGGTGCCAGAGTTTTTGATTAACTGAATTTTGTGGATAGTGAAACTGGGGAGATTAGCAAGGAGGGCTTTGGAGTAGTCGAGACGTAGTATAATAAACGAATGGGCGAGTGTTTCACTTTTGTTTCAGGTAAGGTAGAGTCGGTTCAAAGTTGAAATTGAATTTAATA